ATACTAAAAGCACTATAATGATTAATGTTATATTGTTTCATCAATCGCTGAAAATTGGAGTTGTAAAATTCCGTTCCTTGGTCTGGGTTCAAATGTTTGGGGCATCGTTTACTCTCTCTCAAGATAGCAGGGAAAGCTTCAGTGACGGCATCAGCCGACTTTGATTTCAATGGTTTTGCCCACAGATACTTTGAAAAACAATCAATAACCATAAGAATATACTTGAAATTTTTATTCGCTTTCATATAAGTATCCATTTGAGCCACGTCAGCTTGCCATAAATCGTCGTACCTTCTATAACTGTTCGACGTCTAGGAAAGTTTTTTCTAATCGGTTTGTGTAGCTCATTTACTAGTTGAACCTTTTCCTTCGACATTTTAGGGGAGCCAGATCAAAGTTAATTCTTTGATGATTTAGCTGTACTAATCTGCTTTCCAGATGTTTTTCCTGTGACGCTTTTTGAGATAAGATCTTGTAGGAACCAGATCAAAGTAATTTATAGGCTTGGAAGCTCTGACTATTCTCTTGTCATTAAGCCTATATATGAAGGAGTTTTATTAAACTGTTTATGCTGCTCTTCTAAAGCTAAGATTTTCGTTAGGTGTGCTTTACACTGCCCTTCTAAAGCTACTATTTTAGATTTTAATTTATATTCAATATCATTTTCCAATGCTTCATTCATAGATTTCAAGTAACCAATTTTCGTCTGGTTATCTCGCGCTATTTTATCTATTTTATTTATGTTTACATCGAGAGAGGTGACATTTTCTTTCAATTGACTATCTACATAGTCTTTGGTGGTAGCATCACTTTTCTCCGTAGGCAATTTCAAATTACAAATTTTCAAATGTTGCACATCAATTTCTCCATCTTGTGTGTGAGGAAGCGAAGACGATGGTCTAGTGTAAGGAAGTTGCTTCCGCCTAAATGCATCTGAATGACGTCCGAATTTATCGAGACTCATTTTAGAACTAACATTAAAAATGTCATGTCATCTTTAATATACTCCTGGACAAAATTATAGCACCACTGCTTATGGTGATGCTTATGTGCAGTGGTGCGATAATTTTGTCCAGGAGTATATATACCTTTTGCTTCCCGAAGTTCCTCAATAATTGATGAAATTTCATTATTATGTGATGTATTGCCAGCTTGTTTAGATGCGTATAAAAGTCTTAATCTATCTACCAGTTCATTAACATCATCCCAATAGACATATTCTGCGGGCTTTTCGCTATACAACATTTTATCAAAACCACTACCTTCATAGGCGGACGATGACGCTGAAAATGATTTAATTTTTGGTTCGGGTCCCAATAATGGTTTAGCAGGTTGTGTGTATTTAAAACCTCCATTTGTTTTATCTAATATTCTTTGATATTCATCAAGATCATTGCTTGTATATTGTCCCGGTTCTTTATAAAAAATTAGATTATGAAGCCCTGAAGTTGCATTAAATTCTTCTTTATCAATATAAAGTTTTCCAGTTTTTTGATTGAAATCCATTATCTTACCACCTAACATCCATCTAGAAGTTATAGGATCATATTTCGGACCTTTGATTCACATCAATTTTGGGGGATTCATTAAGATAATTTGAAACATATTCACCAACATTATCTGGATATTGACTTAAATATTTATCATCGACCATGTCAATAAGTGATGAGTCATAATTGTTTCCATCATCATCGCCAATGTCTTCAAAATCTCGTTCATCTTTACTGGTAACGGTAGGTAGAAAATCCACTTCACGTTTTGTCTCTTGTAGCCGTATATTTTCAAAATCTTGACGCTTCACATTTTTATACGGTACGCGACCTTTTTGTTTTACTGGTACTGGTTGCAGCTCTTGTTTTGGTTCAAGTTTTTTCTGTTCCCCTAATTGTTTCAGAGGCGTCGTGATCGGTTTGAAAATTTTATTTAAAGTATCATCTTCCTTAGATCGTCCTAATTTTAAGGCTCGATATTTTTTCCGTACATCGTTGGCTAATTGTAAAATTTTTTGTTCACGTACAACCTCTTCATTGTTTAAAGGTTTCATTGTAACTAGAGTTATAGTACTAATTATGTAGTTTTTTATACTCATCAAATCCCTTACGATACCTGCCATTATTCAAGTAAAAATCTTTTACAATCACCAAACTACTAAACTTTTCATCAGTCCACCATTTAAAACACACTTCTTTGAAATTATCATAGGTCATATCAGGTGATACGTGTTCATCAAAGATATGTTTCAAGTTTACATCATCCTGTTTAAATAATACTAATATGTTGCAGTTATCTCGTATCAGCTGCTTCGGTATTTTAGAATACGTCTGACAAAGATATGTAACATCGATGTTTTTATGACGCCGCATGGAAAAATACTTGCGAATTTAATCTTGCTTATCGCATGACACATCGTCAAATATAAATATTGAATTATTTTGCGCTTCTTCTGGATCAATAATCATATCATTATCTCTAAATGGAAAACACCTTTTACACTTTTTAGAACATCCTCCAATAGTTTATACTTTGGCTGATACAATGATTTCGAATACACGTAGATATTTTCGAAACGTAATCCGTTCTGATTGAAAAGCAGGGTTAGAAGAGCATTGGCTTTCCCACATCCACTAGGTCCATAAAATATGGCGCAAAAACAATTTGGTAACAATTTACTATGTCTTCTAAAATCCAAATTTTCTACTGACAATTTTAAATTCCGCGGTTTAAACGGCATTTTGGAAATGAGGTGGAAAAGTATCAAAACTGCCTATTTATAGAAAATAGATAGGTCGATCATATATAAATGTATGAAAGATGATAAGTACTCATTAATATGCTAACCTTTGAACAGCATACAGGTTCTGGTCTAGTGAATTCAATAATTAATAAGTTACCTGTTAAAATACACGTTCCTGGTTATCAGTTTTGTGGTCCAGGTACAAAGGTAAAAAAAGTTTAGCGCGTGATGATAAAGGAATTAATCCGTTGGACGCTGCCTGTAAACAACACGATATAAAGTATTCGGAGAACTCTTCATTAGGAGACAGACATAAAGCAGATTTAGAGTTGAAAAATCGTGCTTGGGAACGAGTGAAAGCAAACGATTCCAGTTTAGGTGAAAAGTCTGCAGCTTGGTTCATTACAAATACGATGAAAGTGAAACGAAAATAAGGAATGGGTTGTGCTGCTGGATCATTTAAAAAACATATACTGAAACCCATCAGAAATCTTTTGAAGAAATCTTTCAAAATCGATCTGGAAACAACAAATCTCTGAGGAGAGCTTCCTTAGCAAGCTCAAGCAGCTCTTAAAAAAGCTGGTGGACGTAAAAAACTACGGGTACCTTGTATAATTTCCTTTGAATCTAAAATTGGCGGAATTATTCCACTGTTACCTCTGTTTGCTGGGCTTTCCGCATTGGGCAGTCTTGCTGGAGGCGCATCTGCAATAGCTTAAACTGTTATAAAAGCCCGAAATGCACGGCAAAAGTTACAAGAAAATGCTCAATCTAAAACTATGGAAGAAATTGGGAAAAAAGGTGCGGGGCTTTAGTTGAGAGAAACTACACGAGGATTTGGTTTATACTTAAAAAAACAACAGTCAAAAAACTACCAATAAAGCTACCTAATAGATCCCTTTATGACTATGAGATACGAAATTTTATAAATAAATTAAAAGTACCATATTTTAAAGGAGTTTTTATGCGAGATACTCTGCCTAAAAAGCCAAAATTTAATGAGAGTGCTGTAGTGAACTTGGAGTTTAATAAATATGCTGGTACTCATTGGGTAGCTTATAAGAAACGTGGAAATTGTGTGGAATATTTTGATAGTTTTGGTAATTTAAGACCACCGAAAGAATTAGTTTGTTATTTTAATGCTGCTGTTGCTGCTCTGCTGCTGCTGCTGCTGCTGCTGCTGCTGCTGGACCAACGAACAGCGTTAAAATTTTCTATATTAGAGATCAATATCAGAAATTCAATACGAGTAATTGTGGACACTTGTGCATCAGATTTCTGTATAAAAGTAAATAGTACTTTGTCCATTCAGTTAGTCATGTCAGTGATATTCACATTAAAGAGTCGTACACCTACGCTCTCTATAGATTTTCCTAATCCCATTCGTACAACACGATTCTAAATATTAAAAAGAAAACAAATTTTCAATATTTTGATACCAAAAACAAAAAATTGGGTTTTATACATATACCAGAAGGCGCGTACGAAATATCAGATATCCAAAACTATCTAAGGAAAAAACTAGCGCTCAAGTCGTACCAGATTTTGAAAAGCCAAGTCGAGGAAGAGGAAATTTTTTATTTGAAACCCAATAATAATACGTTAAAGTGTGAAATTTTTCATCGAGACTTTGACATCAAGTTTGAATCTAAAAGCCCTCTTGCAAAACTATTAGGATTTTCAAAACATACTTTAGGCGCTGGAAAAGTGCAAGAATCTGATTTGCCTGTCAATATTGAAAAAGTGCGAACCATTCATATTGATAGTAACATAACTGTGGGAGCTTACTATAACAATAAACCGACGCATACATTGTATGAATTTTCCATTAGCGTTGATCCAGGATTTGCCATCGACGAAATCCCCAAAAATTTGATTTACCTTCCAGTGGTGTATGGCGAAATAAATAATATTATTTTAACAGTTTTGGACCAAGATTTTAATTTGGTTAATTTTCGAGGTGAAGAAATTATCGTTAGATTGGAGCTTCGAAAAAATGGTTCCAGTGATTGGGGAATATAAAAGAGACATTCCTTCTACTGCATCATCAGTTGCAAAACTTCGTTCAATTAGAAAGTTGGGCGAAAAATTAAATTCGATAAACCGTTATTTTCTCCAAACAATCGGCTATGTTGTCAAACCAAGTTCTAGATCTTTACAAAACGCCGCTAAGCGATGATTCTAAAAGTCGCATCAATTCTCATACTTATTTGCCTTACATCAAATCATTTGAGAATAATGGTATCATTGAAATTTCATTTAATAGAAACGATGCGTGGGTGCAGCTTTATCGATAAGAGGAAAGCTAGAGAAAACTGCTGGAGCTGGCAACGTTAAATTCGTCAACAATGCCGGCGCATTTTTCTTCGATTCAATCACGTATTTGTTGAATGGCATTGAAATGGAACATGTGAAAGATCCTGGTATTACGAGTCTAATTCGAGGCTATTTATGCTATACTGAAGAAGATAGTAATCATTTACCGGTTGGAATTATGTTGCCGGTGGGAATTATCCAGCAACTTATACATATGGTGCTTTCTTCATGAGAATTCCTCTTTATCATTTATTGGGGCTTTTTACCGACTACAAAGTGGCTATATCTGGAAAGCATACTATACGTTTGGTGAGAGCTCGCAATGATGCCTATTGTATGCTAATTACTGGAGCTGTTACTAAAGCAGAACTTGTTATAGAAAACATTGATTTAAAAGTGAAACACATTATTCTGAATGATGATCTAAAAATACAACTTTTACAATCCGTCAAGACCGATCGACCCATTCTAATTCCCTTTATAAAGTGGGAATTACATGAATTACCTGCTCTTAATGTGGGTTCAACAAAAGAAATGTGGAGTGTGAAAACTACAACTTGTGTCGATTGTCCTCGATATGTTATAGTGGCCTTTCAACAGGATCGGAAAGATGATTTCAAAAAAGACAACAAAATTTGATAACCTCGATATATCAAATGTTAGATTATTTTTGAATGGAGAATATTAACCGTACGAGCACCAAAATCTTGATCTTGAGTCTAAAATCCTGAGCGATCGATGTTAAAATTGAAATTGAATCAAGAACTGTTTTTCCTGATAAAACGAAAGCCTATTGCATCATCATTCATGATTGCGTAATGGAACACTTGCCACTTAATGAAATTGTTAGAAAAATTAATTAGTCTTTGTCTAGCAGTCAATCATCTTCCGGTCGACATCCAGGGTTTCACCATAACCTCAAATAATAGTAACACATTTTTTGCTAAAGAAATGGCTATTATGAATGGACATCAAGCAAATCATTATTTGTTTGAAATGCCAGTGAAGTACTATTCCCTCTCGACCTACGATAAAAAGCAAGTGAACCATGCGACGCTTCAAGTGCATTGCCTTCTATTTGCGAAAGGTCACCAGAAAAAGGACTTTCTTGATGAAAAAATAAGTAAATTTGATGTTGGTCAAAGATACCCAAAAATAATTAACCTGGAAGCTCTAGATGCCACCTGGACTTTTTCGATGACAAAGTTTAGTCAAGATATTCCAGAATGTATGAGTCATTTAACTGATAAGAATTATATGTGTAGTTTAGGAAATTGTTTTGCTAGTCATAATTGGATTTCTGATTGTATACCTATGTAATTTTAAGAATTAAAATAAATATTGGTATGAAAAAACGGTAATTTTATTTATTAGTATCAAATCAGTCATGGTCGTGTTAACATCAAGTTTTGTGCTCGTGACTGCATTAGTAAATGGCGTATTTTATATTCATCAACCTAGAAACGCGTAAAGTGTCTGTATTTGTCTCAATAAAACAGATGAAACTTGGCCACAAAATTGGGCTGAAATGAAAGCGGGCTATGTTGAAAATGTTCCAATATTTTCCATTAAATTGTCTGAAACGTGACACAGTACAAAATAAGGATTCTATATCCCAATCGCACACATCGAGGCAGTGAATGGAAGAACTTTACTATGCTCCCACCTCCGAAACACTTTGACAACATCAACTCAACAACAACACCTCCAATGACACCTCCTGCGTCAGATTTCACCGTCGTCGTCGAATTAGTCTACTATATATCATTTGTGGCATCAGTACTGGTACTTGAGCCCATAGTAAATTTTTCCAATACAAAATAGATGAACGTCAGATAAAGTCTGAATATATTAATGAACTACATGATTTAATCAATAACCTTATGTCATCAAGACGCTTAACACAAAGTTGAAAATACCAGAAGAAAAATTAATCAAACTACTTGAACCGTGCTGGGGGCACATCCTAGATGAAATCGCTATTGGTGGCTATGATGTAATTGATGGGCCGGAACATTCATTTAAAATTAATTGTAAATTTACTATTTAAAAAATAAAAAATTATATGCTCTTTTATTTGTTTTGTTTTCATTTACCATATGACTTGAGCCTGGGAATTTTTTCGATACCGTGGGAAAATATGTAGATCGGCGGCGCCTTTGATCTGAAATTTCGGTGGTTGGGCCCCGGGTCAAACCCAAATTTCTAGTAAAATAAAAGGTGCAGTAAATTCGTATACTGGAAAATCTATTTACTTTTTCGAGGATAATTACTTCATAAAAATAAATGAATGTATAATGGTGTGGAAAAGTTTGGATACATTTCAAAGGACTTTATTGGAATACCTTCATCTATGGATAGTGTTTTTAGATACATTAATGGGATGCTATACTTTTTCCAAAATGGTCGATATTTCGAAGATAATGGGTTTACAAATTCTTTGGGGGCATCAGATGAAATTGATTTATTGAAATTTGAAATACAATGCCCTAGTCTAACTTTATATGAACAATCAAAAGAACTATTGATACGCCTATTATTAGTTACGTGAATAAAAGTTAGCGTCAGTCGTACTCCAAACCATGAACTGCATACTTGCTGAGAGAATTCAAAATCATTTAGTAAATCTCTCTAAATTGAAAAAAGACTTAGACTTTTACCAAGAAAAACAGTTACTGTTCAAAAATTTTAAAAATTTAGAAATGGATTCGAAATGGGATGGAGTATTTTCATCAACTTCCAGATTTGCAAATGGACCAGCAACATGTAATCGGAAAATTGTTCCAAAATCAGTTTATCAAGAATATAATATTGGAGACATTGTGCAAATTAATTATAATCCTGAGAAAAAAAACGTACATTGTCTTACATCACAAGAATGACACTTCAATTCAATTTACCTACAACGAATTTGAAGAATTTTTACAGTTTCTCGATAATTTAAATGATGGATGGAATGATACAAACTTCTATATTGGCGAATTCATTTACGTTAGCTATAGGAATGAGGAAGAAAGTAAAGGCTTAACTATGGTGGATAAGCGAACAATGAAAAACATTTATTGGAATGAAAATCATCTTGATTCAATTTTAGAGCATAAATATAACTTGTATGATATTTTTCTTTAATGAAAATAAAAATTTAAACTGATCTATTCCTTTTCCCTATAGCAAAACCAAAATTTTATAGATAAAACAATTATAGATACTAAAAACGCATTTATTTTTCAAATATTTGTACAAAAAATACACTCCACTCTGACTCCTTATTTGTAGGTGGTCTTGTTGCGACGTTTTGTTGTTGCTGTTTTCTCATTTCCATCAATTCTAAAATTAAAATAATTAGTTTCAATTGAATAGTTTATATTATAATAAACTAACAATTCAACAATTTCAAAAATTGCCGTTGGATTTAGTCCCTGAATCTCATTCATAGACTTGAAAACGAGTGCAAATTTCCCAGCCTCGAAATGGTCAAGATTTTGTTTAATCGGTTCGGTTAAACATTGCGCTAGAAATGTGATACATTTTTCCAAGTCTACTTTTGCTACTTCTCCAAATTTAGAGTTAACAATTGCCATACTTATAATGGGATACAGATGATATGGGACTAGGTCCTTCAATTTTAAATAGGGCTTTTCTTCAATACAGGCCGACTGGTTTATTCTATCTAAATTCATGATTGTCTCTGAAAAAAAAAAATTGAACAACATATTATTATCAGGGTTTTTAAGAATAATGAAAAAATTACTTACTTAGTTTTTTTAGCACTAACACAATCAATTAACTATAAATGAGCCAACGCCCAACTTTGAATGAAATTTTCGTAGAAAAATTCCAACTGGAGCACTTAAAAAACGTTGAGTCACTTAAGGCCGCTAGAATCTAACTAACTAAACTTTGAATGAATGAATAACAACATGTATTACCGACAGGAAATGTGGTTTCCGTTAAGCAGCGTTTTCCTAGCAACGCACATTTTACGCGGCGTAGAACGTAATACGGCCGACGCAACGCAACATCCAATGCGCTGCGTAAAAGTGTTTTCCTAGGATTGTCAGTTGTGTCCTGATCGTCGCGATGAGTATATCAATAAAGAAATTAACTTTGGCTTTATTCGAGGCTTTATTATTAGGTCTGCTTCTGCAGAAATCACATACCAGTCAGAGCGAATTTCATTGGTTGAAAACTGTCAAAAAACTAATTTCAACCAATAAAATTCACTCTGACTGGTGTGTGATTTCTGCAGAAATAGCTCTATTATTACAAGATGAAAATTTGCAAGAAGATATTGATATAATAGCCACGATTCATGATAGGACTAGAAATTCTCTAGTCAATTATTTCAAGAAAAAAGAAGCGAAGGCGCATTTAGAATACTTATCCATGAACATCTGCTCGACGACGAAGTAAAATTTGAAAAGCATACTTCAGAGTTACAACAAGGCAGCAATTCTCATTTCTCCTCGATCTTATGAGAAAAGATTTAGGTAAGAAATCATGTAATCGCGTGCGACATCCTATTTCGCCACCTCAAAAACTTGGCTTAACGTTGAGGTATAGAAATATAATACAACAGGAGCATTTTCTTTGCCAACACGCAGCGTACAACTGAATAGACTGCTCTCCGAGCAGTCGTTCAGTTGCGTCGAACATATTACGCTAGCGCAAGTCGTTTTTACGCAGTGTCGGAAAACGCTTCCATTTGATTCTCATTAGACATGTCCTCAGCGTTTTACGCCGACCGAATTACGTTCCACGCCGCGTAAAATGTGCGTTGCTAGGAAAACGCTGCTTTTATGAGACAACAGGATTTCAAATAAATTAAGCAAGTTCGCAAAACTTGTTCTCAGCGGTCCAACCAAATTTCGAATTTCGAAAGATGATGTCTCATTGAAATTGGTGGGTAACGAGACATGAATTATTGTCTGATCATGGTCAGATTTTAGTTTAGAAAAATGGGGGCCAAGTACGATGCATCTTGTTACAAGTCACGAGTTATGGGGTACGCGGGTCTAGCAGCGGAGACAAGGGGCCCCCTTTCCGATTTTTCCTCTAGATTTAGGGACATTTTATTGACAACGTCGCACATTATTATTTTTGGCAACGTCGCACGTATCTGTCATCTTGTATGGGGTATCACATTTTAGGTTATGAGTTCATGTAAATGTGGGGCCCGAGAAATGAGGCCGCGGGTCTAGGACCGGAGACAAGTATGTGACCCTTTGTTGA